CAAGATCATCATATAAAGGTGATTCAAATTTATCATCATCACTATCACTATCATCATTGCTAGCATATTCATCACCACTACTATCATCATCATTTGATACCTTTCATTCACCCTTGGCCATAAGGCATAGGTGTGTAGAGAATGATGGCGGTGGTGTCGGTGAAGATGATGAAGAGTCAATCACAATGGCGGTCACCTTCTCATTGTCACTATCATCGGATGAACAACTTGATGAATCAATGTCCGTGAACCAATCACCGATGATGTATGCCTTGCCATTTTTTTTCTTCTTGTGGAAGTCCTTCTTCTTGTATGGCTTGTTTTTCTTCTTCTCATCTTCATCTTTATCACTTGAGTCATCTTCTTGCCCTTGTTCTTCTTCTTGTATTTATCTTTCTTAAGCTTGGGGCATTGATGTGCTAGATGACCAAGTTCTCCATAATTATAGCAATCCATCTCAAAGATTGGCTTCCTTCTAGTGCTAGTGAAGAACTTCTTTTTCTTGCCATCAAACTTGATGCCGTTCTTGTTGAGCTTCTTTAGCATCTTGGCGGTTCTTCTCACCATGAGAGCAAGACTTGCATCATCACTTGAGCTCTCATACTCAATTCTTGCTTTGCCCTTCTCTTGGCTAGCCTTGAATGCCAAGTCCTTATCTTTCTTCTTGTTAGAGGACGAGTCATCTTGTGGTGTGATGTGCATGTACATCTCATGAGTGTTGATCTTTCCCAAGATTTGAGTTGGTGTAGCGGTGAAAAGATCGCCTTAGATGAAGCACGGTCACAATATGCCCATATTTGTCAATGGGAAGGACACTCAAGATCTTCCTTACAACATCGGATGGTTGCATTTGTGTAAGTCCAAGCCCATTGACTTTCTCTACAAGAACATTTAAGCATGAGTATATTTTATTTGCACTTTCTTTAGGAAGCATCTCAAAAGAATTAAGCTTTTTATGACGAGATGATAGCGTTCCTCACGCTCACTCTTTGTTCCCTCATGGAGCGCACAAATGTCCAACCATAGTGTATGGGCGTCCTTGTAGTTCCTCACTCTATTAAACACATCTTTACAAAGGTCTCTAAAGATAGTGTTTCTAGCCTTTGCATTCCACTTTTCGTAATTCACTTCATCGCCTTGAAGGTACGTGGGATCCCTATGTTTTGGGAAACCTTGAGAGGCGGCTCTAAGAATTCCAACATTTAGAGCTTCTAAATATACCTCCATGTGGATTTTCCAATAAGAAAAATCATCTCTCTCAAAGATAGGAGGAGGTCCATCCCCGTGGGACATCTTTCTCTAGGTGGTTAAGCCTAAATACGTGAGCACAAGGCTCTGATACCAATTAAAAGAATCAAGATACCCAAGAGCGGAGGTGAATTGGGCTAATTCTAAAATTCTTTACAATAATTAAACCCTACACTTAGCCCACTTCACCCCTTGTGCCTAGAATGTGAAGCTATTGATCTACCGCTCAAAAGTTTAGCATCCTAAGTTCCAATCCTACTCTATCATGACAATTCTAAGAATGTAAAGACAAGAATTAAATTGCTCAAATGTAAATATTTAAAGTAAAAAGAGAAGAAGGAATGGGGCGATGTTTTACCGAGGTATCGGAGAGTCGCCACTCCCCACTAGTCCTCGTTGGAGCACCCGCGTAAGGGTATAGCTCCCCTTTGATCCGCGCAAGGATCAAGTGCTCTCTACGGGTTGATTCTTCAACACTCCATCGCGGTGAATCACCCACAACTTGAGTTGGGTCATCCACAAGCTCCGCCGGATGATCACCAAACTCCCAATCACCACCAAGCCGTCTAGGTGATGGCGATCACCAAGAGTAACAAGCAAGAACTCTCACTTGACCACAACAAGCCTAATGAGAATGGTGGATGCACACTTGCTACTCTCTTTGCACTAATGAGGCCTTAATCTTGGATTATCAAATCCCAATCTCCTCACTAGGCTCTTGCTCTCCTAAGCACTCTCAAAGGTGTTTCTCAGCTGTTGAAATGGGCAAGAGACCTCCCTTGGATGAATAGAGGAAGTATTTATACCTCCTCATTCAAAATGAACCGTTAGGAGGTGGAAACACCACACTGCGCGGTGACCGGACGCTCCGATCAAGGTGACCGGACGCTCCGGTCAGTTCTCCCCGCCACTGAGCCGTTAAGTTGTGACCGGACTCTGACCAGTGTCCGGTCAGCACTGACCGGATGCGTCCGGTCACGAAAACTGCTCTCTGGAACCTTACTGATGTTGACCGGACGCTGGAACCCAGAGTCTGGTCACTTCGCTGCTCAGCGTCCGGTCAGTAGCCGGAACCTGACCAGCGTCCGGTCAGCACTGACCAGACTCGTCCGATCAGGATTCTCCCTCTCTGGAACCTATCTGGAGTTGACCAGACTCTAGCACCCAGCGTCCGGTCACATTTCACTCAGCCTCCGGTCACAAGCAGACGACTTCACCTAGATCAAATGAACTGACCGGACTCTACTGCCAGCGTCCGGTCACACCGGAACCAGCGTCCAGTCAACATTTGACCATCCATTCACTTCTAACTCAAAATCATATGTGAATGAAGTTTTCTCCAATTGATCTTAGGGCTACTTAGGAGCTACCTAGTGCTAGATTTGACAAGTGTGCTCCACACCTAACCCACTAGACTCACCTAGGTCAAGCTACTAGTCCATACCCCCCTTTATAGTACGATCAAAGGAAAAACAAAGTCCTAAACTACTCTAAGTGTCTCTTCAACACCAAACAACACTTAGAACTAGTTCATCCTTAACCTTGTCGTCCATTCTTTGAAAACCAAAACGATTTCCATCGTAGGGGCATGACAACCATGATTGCCCAATCAATTGCCATTACCATGACCTAACTTAATTGCCTCTGCAAAATACATGTTAGTCATAATAATCACGTATTATCATTAATCACCGAAACCCAACTAGGGGCCTAGATGCTTTCACCTGCCTATACGGTAGAGCTCGCCGTGGTCGGGGATGGAGCCCGCATACATGGTGGCGCATGGTGAGGTCGGGGGCGGAGCTCACCAGCCACCCCCTCTTTCTTCTCCCATGCGCGTAGAAGCCTATGTCCCAGGTGGGACAGGTAAATCCATCGAATTTTGAGGAGTATTGTCTTAGGAGACGACTCTCCTTGTTGTCTTTGGATCAAACACTAGGGTTAGGTGGGATATCCCATCTTGAATCGTCCTGTCCTTAGAACCGAACACTACCTAAATGAGCATCGTCCATATCATTAAAGAATAGTACTCCCTCCAATCCAAATTTTAAGTCATTCTAGTTTTCCTAAATGTAGGTTTTGCTACGCACCTAGATATATATTTTGTTTAGATACATATTAGATGCTACTATATATCTAGAAAAGTTAGAATGTGTTACAATATGTCTATATACATAGTAAATGCCACTCCTTCCATCTCAAATATGTCTAGAAAAATCAAAATGTCTTATAATTTGAAACAAAGAGAATATGTATACAAAAAGCTAGAATAACCTAAAATTTAAAATGGAGGGAGTACTTCATAATTTACCTTTTTCTTTTGACGTGGTAGACAAATGCAAACGCCCAATGTGCTAGATTACGTAATACTAAGCTTGTAAAAAATCCTCTCCAAAACATTTGGTTTCGGGCTTCACTCGACTCTAGAGACATGACCTCCACTCGTCGCTGAGCCCACGCTGCCGCGGGTTCCGGCGTGGTCCACGGTGTTCGCTGTCGTGCGCCCGGGCACCTACATGGCCCCATCCTTCCTCTTCACCGCGCGTCCGCGCCCGAGCGCCGCCGCATGCCTTCCTATCTCTCCATCGCCACTTACCACTCGACGTGGTGTGGTCCACGACAACTGCTCCGCGCGCGACGTCCTCCACTGTTCTCAGTCGCTCGCCCGCCGCCATCCTCACTCTCAACTGCACCCGAGCGCTGCTTGTTGGCACCCTAGTTTCCCACCAGGTAGGCCGTGGCCACCGGCGATGTCGTGTTTCAAGTGTTTTAGGTGTTTTAGACGTATATTTCAAGGGTTTTATCTGAATGTTGCATATGTTGCAACAAATATATAAGCATGTTGCAAGCGTATGTTTAATGTTACGAGCATATGTTTCAAGTGTTGCAAGTGTATCGGACGTATGTTTCAAGTATTTTTATTTGGATGTTGTAAAAGTATATCTGATATTGTATATCATGCTTGTTGCAAACGTATGTTTTGAGTGTCTCAGGTGTTCCATCCGTATGTTACAAGTGTTTGATTTGGATGTGCAAAAGATTTGGATGTTGCATATGTTTGTAATGACTTTCAATTGTTTTTTTTTCAAGTGTTTCAAATATACATTGCATGTGTTTTAGCTATTTCGAACGTATGTTGCAAGTGTTTCATCTGGATGATGCAGAATGTGGTATTGCACATGTTGCAATAGGACTCACCTGCCGCAGTCGCTTGGGCGCTGCCGAGTGAGCGCAGATGGTCCCCGTGTGCATACGTGTGGGAAGCGAAGAGGGTGTGAGTAGTCCCCAGGTGCGGTCAGGCCACACGGGCGGGGTGAATTGTCTAGGTGACTGGGCCTCTGTGTGGGCGCGCGAAACGAAACAGGCACGGGAGACAGGGTGCACGTGCGGACGTTCAGATGGCCGGATGCTAGCAATTCCTAAACTTTTACTATATACTTAAATATACGATATGTCTGTCTTATTCGCTTGAACTTATTATGGTATAATATTTTTCTCCCGCGGTAAATCTCAACCACAGCAGAAACCATCAGTCCACGTACTGTACCACAGATAGCAAGGCCGGAGTAGCGGACCCTGATGCATCCGCATGAGTATTGCACGTGACATGGCCTCTAAACTGTCAGCTACCGAGGGAACAAAAATAACAAGCAACTAATGATGGTCTATCACCTGCAAGTGCCATTCAATTTGGGAGCCACCGATTATTAACCCATCCAGAAAAACAGTCCACCTCGCCGCCGCCGGAGAAGATGGGTGAGCGGCGGTACACCGAGCAGGAGGAGGCCCTCGAGATCAAGTCCCTCCGCCGCATCATCGCCGCCTACGCCAAGTACGCGCACCCATCCCGCCTACTCTTCTACCCTGGCGAATTAGCCCCCATTCATTCCTACGGCGTCACCGCCGCCGCAGTTGATTGGAAGTGCATAAACGGCGGAACTCGGTGCTACAAGCGTTTCCGCGTGCTAGTCCAGACCCTGGGAGGCTGGGACGATGGCTTGATGGGCTGGCCTGGAGTTTGGAGCGGAGGATAGTGTGCTCTGATGCTGAAGCAGTGGTAGGGTTCGTGGGCGCTCTCCGGTTCGAGAGAGTGAGATGGCTAACAGGAGTCGATTGGGTGGTGGCAGGGATTCCGCTGCGCTGATTGCTTTCTGGTTTTCTCTAGAGAGTAAGGCACTTTGCTGTTCCCGAATAACACAGCACCATGCGACCCCCCACTCATAGATAGAGAGAATCAGGGTTACTGGTAGTGGTGCTAGACCTGGTGAACTTTCTGTTGGTTTTCCTTAGCCTATTACACTCATCTTACAAGGGACATGGAGAGAAGATTCACTGGATACATGCGAGTAACATGGGGTTTTCTAGCACTGTGCTGGCTTTTGGTGGTGGTTGATTAGGAATGCAAGTGGGTAAGTGGGTTCGAGCAGCCTGCTTAAAATGGTCGATTTGTCGTTTTGCGGACTACATTTTCATCCCTACATGTTGATTGATGCCATCAGGGGGTGCATTTGATGGCAGCATGGTAAATTGCCTACGTTAAGCATTTTGGACATAGTTGACCAATCTAGCATCCTTAAAATGTTCAGTGGAGGTCATCTGTAGTTTCTCGTCAGCTGTTGGCTGGTTTAGAAGTTTTGTCTATATATGCAACATAAGAGAGCTAATCAACTGTTGATTTTTATTCAGAGAATTAAGTGATATTGAACAATATACCTGAGAAAATTCTGGCTCCACCCTTTTATACTGATTGAAAACATTTGTTTTGGTGTTGTGATAGCTATCAAGACGCCGCAGAAAGGGATGTCAAGAGATATGAGCGGTCATTCAAAATGCTTCCTCCCGCGCACAAGGTTTATATAATTATATATTCATAGTCATAGTCATCACATGTTTTGTTTATTTTTATCCCTGTTGTTCCTCTTTCTCATCTAGAGTTCATTTTGGTTTATATAGATCACCTAATGCAATATGCTCTCCCACATTTATGCGTTTTCTGTGTAGGAACTTCTTTTCCACCTTGGTCTGAAGTACCAAAGACTGAGATGGTAAGTAACATTCTGTGCTTCATGCTTGTAATCATCTACTCCTCTGTTTCAAATTGTAAGTTGTTTTAGTTTTGTCCTAAGCCAAACTTGTTTAACTTTGATGAAGTTTATAGAAAAATATATTAACAACTACAATATCAAATACTAAAATATATTTTATGGTGTATCTAATGAATCTTGTTTGATGTGGTAGATGTTTGTTCATTGTTTCTATGAACTTGGTCAAAACTAAAACGACTTACAATTTGGAACGGAGGGAGTAGTGCTGATAAATAGTTCTCTTGCTTTGTATTTGAGATTTTCTGATGTGCTCTATCTTCACGAACCATGACTCTTTATTTAAACATTCTAAAAAAAGAGCCAATGCTCTTTTATGATTAATTCTCTACATGTTTCTTGATTAACTTGTCTTTGGTTTGATGCTGCTGTACATCTTAGATGTGCTTAAGTTATGTGCTTTAGATGGATACAGTAATGTTAATGCATGTATTCATTGTATAAAAAAAGGCCCTCATGCTTACTGCTGATAGGTTTATTTGACACATTATTACTTGACAGGTGTATATCCATGAATGCATCTTTTATCATGAACATGCTTGAGGTATGATCTTTTGAGACTGTTTATTTGGTGATAGCTGCAATGCATATCTTGTGTCAAAAACTGCAATGCACATGATTGTATTATTTAAAATGAAAAATTGCAGGCATTTGAACCCCCCTTCGACATGAGTCAGTATGTAGATGCTGATGTTCATGCTGATCCATCGAACTTGCATGACCATAGTCATATGGGTTGCACTCATTCCAGCGAGAGGGGTGATTGCTCTATAATTTCTATCTCCAGAAGCAATTTGTCATTGGATGAGCAGCATGATAGTCCCAAAGAAGATACCAAGACACATAAATCTTCAAGAGAAACTGATAATAAGAAGGTATGACCTATCTGAATCCTTCTTCCTGGGAAGTTTGGAAGCACTGGAATTCTTGTGTATTTGAAGGAACTTTGCCTAGTATCCATGCACTCCTTCAGACCATAGGAGATGAGTGCAGTTTATGGTGCATGGCTGGAGCATCAAAGCTCAGTGAATTACTCGCAAGATTGTTGGTCTAGGTTGTCTTAATATCTACAGTAGCTTGTTTGATCAGGTCCTGGTCATGTATATAACCACCCCCACCCGTTCCTTTATCGGTTAGGGTGGGTGTGTGGTTTTTGTTTTTTCGGCTTGCTGGGTTTCTTTCTAAATCCAGCATGTCTTGTATTTCCTATCTTAATTAAATGACACTCAGATCTCCTGCATAGTTCGAGAAAAAAATATATATTGTTGCTTTCATGCAGAAACATCTTGTAGATCATTTCACTGGTCATATGCTGTTGAAGATTTCATCATGTTGCACGTAGAGTTTGATTGATTGAATATAAACATCAAACAGGCTGGGGAGATCTCATGGCAGGCTGCTCCCAGCCTGTGGGCAACATGGGGATGTCTCAAGGTGCAGACATTGCATGTAATGGTGATAAAGAGAGTGCAGCAGCTTATTGCCAGGATAAAGATGTCTCTGCATCTTCTGCTATTGAAAATGCAAGTTATTGCAATAATTCACAATCGCATAATGCAGAATATTACTTTGGAATCATACTTGAATTTTGTTATCATGAATCTCGAGGAGTAAGGCATGGATATGGCAAACTTCCTAAATGGGAACTACTACTTCACGGAGAATTAAAATTGCATATTCACATTTCTAGATTTAAAATTGCACTAAATAATCAATTGTGCTAAGATATCTGCACAGAACTAAATGCTCATCCTGATATATTCTGGGGACTTCTTTTTTCTGAAGAGGACCACATCGTCGGCATATAGAGAAACCTGTTGACTAGAACCACAAGATTGGAGAGGCTGCAGCAGTCTAATATCACTTGCGTTATTTATCAAGGCATTTAGAATAGCCATGACAATAGTACAGAGCATTCGGGACAAAGGATCCCCTTGTCGCACCCCTTGTCACAGCTCTGTTTGACGCTGAATAAACTTGCCTGGTACACCATTCACCAAAGCTTGTTGTGGAGGATCTCAGAAGATTGAAGGTCCAATCTACAGTTCTACACCATGGAAATTTGAAACCCTATTTCAATTGGTCCAATCTACCCTTAATAAGATCTTTCTTTTTCTTGCTCTCTCTCTCTGTATACAAGTTAAGTTTGAAGTTAAATTTGGTGAGGTGATAGTGGACATCATAATAAAAACACGTTGTGAAATTTTTTATCATTTTTTATAGATCAGGGCATCTTGTTAGCAAATAATGCAAATAAAGATCGAACACGAGACACAGATTTTTACATGGTATAAACCCTTGCGGGAAAAAACCATGGGTGCCAACCGGCGATCTTCACTATAGTAAGAGTTTACAAAACGCAGGGAATACAATGAGTCGTCAGCTCTTCCCGTACGGCTTACAAGATGTATTTATAGGATGGATTGACTGCAGTCAAATATGGAAACAAATCCGCTAAACCGTGGGTGCTCCAGCCGTCCCTGCAAGACTCATGTTAGAATTCGGATCATATTCCAACACATCTAATACGAAGTCTTAACTTAAAACTCAACTTGTACATGGAGAAACAAAATCTTATTACGGGGTCGATTAGGTCTTGAAATAGTTGGGAGAGCAAGTCGTACCAAAGGTTAGTTTAAGGAGTTATTATCTGGACATTTTTTTGGGAGGGAGGGGGGGGGGGGGATTTGGACTTTTTCCTTCCATAAAAGCCTAAAAGTTTCAGCTAGTAGCAAACTAATCCAAAGTTTGGTACAGGATATCGCAAACTATTTTTGGCGTATCGAGCACTGACATTTTTCTGTGCATTGTGCACTGATTCAGTGATTCCTTTTTTTTGTATATATCCTTCTGGTACCTTTTGGCTTCTGCTTGCATATAATTATGTTCAAATATCTGTGGAATATTGATCCCTGTTTCATTGTTTTAGGTAACACCGCGGCACTGCACAGCTTCATTGCTCAAGTTGAGTGTTCCTCCAATTGATGTTGACAAGGTAAGGACTATTCTGATTCAATCGATTTGCAGATGGAGGGATAATATAATGCTATAAGTGGAAGTTAGCGAGCGAATGGTATATTGGTTGACCACCAAAGAAGCATGTGATGTTGCTGCTTTTCGTTTGTGTTGATTTCTATCTTTATGCCCATGAAAATTTAATTGCTGAAAACTTTCTATTTGATTTCTGTGTGTGAACTTGATGGTTTGCCTGCAAATGCAATTACTCAGCAGTTTGCATTCTTTTTTGGCGTTTTCCATCCTTTGCTGCTTGTATCAGTCATCTTGTTCTGATTTATGCAGGTAAGATGCATAGTAAGAAATATTGTGAGAGATTGGGGCGAGGAGGTAATTTTCTGTTCTCTACTGTGAATGGGCTTGAATCAGAGTTTCTGTTAGTGTATCTGTATGAATACAGTGTTGAAACGTACTGCTGTTTTTATTATTTGTACTGTTCCAGGGTCAAAAGGAACGTGATGAGTGCTATAAGCCCATCCTCGAGGAGCTTAATCGTCTTTTTCCTAACCGGAGCGATCAGAGGTAAACCTTGCCCATGTCTTGTCAATTCAATAAGACTTAATGGGACTGATCTTTCAACAGTAAATACTGACAGTGGCATATTTTTTGGCATTTTTTTGTGTGTGTTTGTGTTCACTAGTGTGCTTGCATGGATCTTGCATCCATGTATGTATGCATTGCTGTTCCCTTTTACCTGTGGGTGTGCTTGTGTGTGTATGTGGGTGGGCATCAGCAATCATAAAGAAGCTGTGTTTAACTCTAATCAGGGCCAAGAACTATGTGAGGTTGCAATTTTGTTCTTATCAAATTTGTTACTTAAATCTAAGCTCTAAGAATATTTTTTGGTGGAAAACTCTTCTCGCTGATTTTTATTGTCTTCATAGGCATCTTATTATGTAGCATATCACTTATACTTATACCTGCTGCTAGCTGTCGATGATATTATTGCAAGCATCTCAACATAGGAAATAATATAGAAGATACTTTGGTATTCACTTTTGCTCTTGCATTATTGATTTGTTTCTCAAACTTCATAGGCCTCCTTCATGTCTTGTCCCTGGTGCTGGGCTTGGGAGATTGGCTCTTGAGATATCTTCTCTGGGTACTGTAATAAAATTCTTGATCTAAATTTAGCTAATATCATTTATTTCTTGATGCTATTTTTTTTTACCCTGGGCAGGTTTTGTAAGCCAAGGGAATGAATTCTCATATTACATGCTGATCTGTTCAAATTTCATCTTGAACCAGTATGTCAATCTATCAAATATAAGCTACGAACCAAGCTATTTATTCTTCGTAATTCTAATGATATCACTATTTTTATCAGCACTCAAGAGGCTAATGAATGGACCATATATCCTTGGATACACAGCAACTGCAATTCTCTTTCAGACAACGATCAACTTCGTCCTGTTTCATTTCCTGATATTCATCCCTCAAGGTGCCTATTATAGTATTATCCCATGTTTTGTTATCAGTGTCAGTACCCCTTCACTATGATGTGTTTCCTACTTTTCCTACAAAAGTGTGACCTTTGGATTGAAATACTTAAATTTAGTAGTCAAATGTCCTTTTGCATTTTGAATGTATAATGTAAAATTCATTTTATTCTGGAGTTTGGGTCTAATGCTTGGGTTTGTTAAGTCATTTAGCATTATATGCAGGTATAAAAACTGAATATTTGCTTGCACTGGATGTTTAGTCACACTTCTTTCAAAAAAGAGATACATTCAGTTTTTATCTTTTCTTTGGTTTGGCTGTGCCACACTCAGCTGTAAGCTCACTTATTTCTGAATCTTTTTTTTCCCTTATCAACAGTGCAGGTATCACAGAAGGATTTTCAATGTGTGCTGGGGACTTTGTAGAGGTCTACAGTGAGGAAAGCCAAGAATGTAAGATGACTCACTGGGCCAATTCTTTATAAGAATATAGATAGTTCACAGGGCAGGAATCCAACTTTAAAAAAAAAAAAATAAAAAAAAAACTCACTGTTCTAGGGTAAGCTGACCTTTTCTGGATGTATCTGTTATGTCCACTATTTGTCTTATCTTCTTCAAGGAGTACTCAATTTCTTTGCACAAATCGTGAGAGCATGATACAATCATCTGAAAAGAAATAATCTAACATTCTTCTAAATGGAGGAGTATGTCTCAGAAGTCAGAATCAGTAACACTACTGCCTGCTTTGATCCTTTGCTACAGTTTTACACCTAATTCCGGGCTGAAGTTTGATGTTTGCACCTTTTATTTCTTACTCCTGTCTTGTCACATTTAGGCTTCAGGCATGTATGGTGGAGCAATGCAATTTTAACATTCTTTGCAATACTACCTGTTGTTCCAGCTGCATGGGATGCTGTTGTAACTTGCTTCTTCCTGGATACGGCACACAATATTGTTGAATATATCGAGATCATATCAAAAGTTCTGAAGGATGGTGGGGTGAGTTCTCATGCTACAAACTGATTCTTCATGAGAATCATCACTAACTATTTTATTTTTTGTGATCCAATTTATAGGGAAGTTCATAATTACTTACATGCTGTTTCTTTACCAGTATTAAAACTGTTCTTCATCTTAACTGTGTTAATTTCAATGAACAGGTCTGGATTAACTTGGGTCCCCTTCTGTATCACTTTGCTGATTCATATGGGCCAGATGATGTAATGATCTAACTCCCATTATTTACATTGAGGTGTTGTATCTTTACTTTGAAGTTACATAATTTATCTCCTTGAACTCAGGATATGTCTATCGAATTAAGTTTGGAAGATGTGAAAAAAGTCGCTTACCATTATGGATTTACAATGGAGGTGAGGGTTTCTGCATTAAATATATTTTGGGTTTTTGGGTGAAAGGGTGTTGTTGTCATGGTGTACTTTGATATGTGATTTGCAGGTGGAGAAAATGATAGAAACTACTTACACTTCAAACATGAAAGCAATGATGCAGGTAACCTTCTAATCTTTGAGGTGATGATTCTTCCAATTAAAGGCTTGTTTGGCTGCACACCAATCCACCTCAATCCACATGAGTTTGGAGGCATTGGGGTGTAAAATTAACTAATTATCCACCCAATACCTCTCAACCCATATGGATTGGGATGGATTGGTGTGCAGCCAAACAAACCTTAAGTGTCGCCAAGTAGCTAGGTTGTGGTTTAATTTGTGAGGTCCATTCTATGATTGCTTGCATTGACTTTAACTTCCATTTGATACGATCAATTGGGTACCTTGTAGTTACTGCATATTCAGCTCGACTGGTTGTATATGGGTTGGGTTAGTGCAACTTTTTAAAGTTCAGTTCAGAAAAGTTACGGTTAGAGCTGTGCTGAGTTCTGTTAATTGACATCTGACACGCAGTCCCTGCCAATTTATTGTGAATATCTATGTGCCTTCTTGTGTTTAGTATGATCGCCTGTCTTATTTGTACCTCTATTGAGTTGCAGAATCGGTACCGTGCAGCATTCTGGACAATGAGGAAGGATGCATCTCGGTCAAAAGCTTGTAAGCCCCGTTGAAGTGAAGATCATCCATGGCAGGCGATCAATTAGTGCCACCATTATTCACCATTGTATTCGAACTCCACACAGGCCGTGCCAGACTAAGTTACATAGACATATATCAGATGAGCTGCCTGATTCAGAGAATATAATTGGCTTCACATAGGAAATGGGCGATGTTTGTGCTATAGGAGAAAAGGATGAGCAAAAAATAGGAAAGGGTTACAATTTGTGAACCGAACTGTACCATGACTTCTTGAACTCTGAAGGTATTCAAATTATATTATGAACTGTAAGGATGAGCAATAAACTAAACAACAGTTAAAAACAATGTACTAGCAAAAAATTTAAAAAGTTGCACCGGTGCCGGGGATCGAAGCCGGGTCGCCCGCGTGACAGGCACGAATACTCACCACTATACTACGACGAGCCTGATCGCGAGGCCGTAAACGATCATGGATTATTTACTACCGGCTGGTTTGGTGTGAGAGAAAAACACTGTTCTGGCTGTAAATTTACGATCGTTTACGACCAAGCGAACAGACCATGGTTGTCGAGGTTGCCTATCTCTCCAAATTCACTGTATTGACTATTGTCTACCACGAACACGAGTTGCGATTGTCGCCTACTCCGCCCGACCGCGCGTATGCCAGTATGAGTCCGCCCGCTCCACGAGACCACGAGTCCGTCGCTCCCCTCCGCTCTCTCTGAATAGTCGATTCCGTGCTCAATGCACTTCTAGCAGAAAACACTTGGCCCAACGCAGGGTGTTAGCTTGAAGTCTTGAACCAAAAGTAGCAGTACACATAGACATGAAAGGGCCAGTGCTTAAATTCCCAACGCAAACTTTCAAAAATAAGTTATGTTTGGAACAAAGGAAATGCTGATTCCTTTTCTCTGGAACCATAGAGCTAGATGCTCGATCCAAACCGGTACTAGAATTTTTGGTTTCTTGTCGATGTGGATGATCATGCCCCTACTCGCCGCCTTAGCTAGCGGTCGGTGCGATCGTCCACGGCGGCACGGTTGTGTTTGTGTCTTCACTTTTTTCATCAATAAGAAAAGGTGCACGATCTTGACGAATTATTTCCGAATAACTTTAGAAATCATATGGAAAAATCATCACCCTATTCGCTTGGCTTATAAGCCGTACTTTCAGCCAACAGTACTTTCACACATGGCTTACCAGCCAAGCAAATAGGGCACATATCATTTGTGACTCATTGCCAAATTTTGCTTTGATTTTCTTAGACCAATAATGTGAGACCATTAACGGTTAAAGCTAAATTGTTTGAAGTTCAGGCAAAATAAGGTACTCTTTCTACAACCACATCAGTATTAGTCTAAAAAATGCTTTAAACAAAAAATAACTAGTGTAGAAATTATTTAATATGGAACACTCATATCGATAAAATAGTCTGACGTATGTACTAGAGGGTACGCCGGCTTTTTTCCAATGTGAAATCGACAATCTATGTATGGAAAAAAAGAAAATTTTGGATTTTGAAGAAAAAATAAAAGGAGTTCTATGGCGTATTTGTGTGCACGAGTTCGCTCGATCGCCGTTCCCCTGTGAGCCGGGGAGTCTGGGACGGAACGACGGTGGTTGCATATGGCCGCGGCCCGCCGGTGTCTTTCCCCGAAGCGTCCCGTTGTGAACCCAAAAAATTTAAAGTCGCCGTTGCCGGGGATCGAACCCGGGTCACCCGCGTGACAGGCGGGAATACTCACCACTATACTACAACGACTGGCTTGTCATGTGGTGCAGACTGCTAGTATTTAGCAGTATAGTGAGCAAAAAAAACAGACCGGGACTACCAAATTCTGGCATGAATCCCGGTCGCCATCGCCATTTCATAAAAGCAAAGGACAAGATGCATTATTAATCACTTGTACCTTAACCTGATCAAGCAACAGCACTTCGATCAAGCCAGGAAACGCGTGCGCAAGCTTTACCACAAATCCCGTTCAGTAAAGACATAACTAAAGTGCCTTTTATTTGCGTCTGAATCAAAAAGGTTGCAACGACTCCCCATTGCACGCCACCTGCTTTCGCGCCATGAACTTCCCAACTTGCTCTCTTTTTTCTGCTAGTGCCTTGGTATTTGGTACGTACGGTACGGCCGCTTAAACCCCGCGCACGCACATCGTACGGATCCGCCTCAGGTTAACCGAACAACCAAACAGCGCCAGCACGCACGCACCGTTCGGTCGTGTACTGACAAGAGACCATGCTTGTTGCGCCGCATGCACCATCCATGCATGCCGGTGCACGTACGTGCGACGATGCACCGGTGCTGTCACTAGGCGTGAAGCGCGCAGTCCCTCGGCCGGAACCCGACACGCCCCGCCGCGAGATCGTACACGACCTCCACGTTCTGCATCTGGAAGCTGCCCAGCACCGCCGCCGGCCCGCCGTCGTCGTCTTCCATCCTCTGGAACAGCAGGCACTTCACCACCACGGAGTCCCTGATGGCGGTCACGGGGTAGTAGCTGCTCAGCTTGGGCAGCGCCAGCCTGGCGCCGCCGGCGAGGTGGAGGATGATCAGCGGCAGCTCGTCGTCCGCGCACGGCGCGCGCGCGCAGGGCACCTTGAAGCAGAGGTCGAACCCCGTCCTCGCCTCGAGCTCGCGGGACCTCTCGTACGGCGCGGCCGCGCTGAGCGACGCCAGCACCGACGCGTAGAACGGGTCCGGCAGGTGCGTGTACGTCGTCCCGGTGTCCACCAGCACCCCGCCGTTGCCCTGCGCGTCGATGCCGCTCAGTCTGGGAGGCGCGGCGGCGGCGGCCATGGCGGCGGAGCCGCCGGAGCCGTCGTCTCCGAGGCCGATACCCTCCAGGCCAACGTAGTAGAAGTTCGGGTACGTGGCGCTCGTCAGCATCGGGGTGAAGACGAAGCCGGCTTCCGTCGACGCCGACGCCAGCGCGAGGTCGCCCATCACCAGCGGGCTGGTGAAGTTGGGGTTCCTCGCGAACCGGAAGCCGAGGAAGCAGTGGGAGAAGCCCTTGTCGAGGAACCCGAGCTGGGACGGCAGGGACAGGGCGCCTCTGCCGAACCCGGCGATGCCGAGCGGCTCCCGGATGGAGCTGCCCACGCAGCCGAAGGCGAAGCCAGGGAACGCCACGGGGAGAGGGCCGGCGCCGGCGCCGCTGCCGTGTGTGCTTCCATGGAGCGTCACGGAGTCCCTGTAGAGGGAGCCAAGTACCAGTCCGCCGCCGCCGTAGGTGTAGGAGAACGGAGGGCAAGGTCTGGGGCACAGGCCGCCGGTGAAGGCGGGGATGGCGCACCCCGCCGCCGCGCACGGGTCGAACCTGTTGTCGGAGCTGTGGACGTCGACGCAGAAGCGGCTCCCGCAGAGGTCCCTCGTGTTCGACGAGGATTCAGACGGCAGGAACGTTGGAGTCGGTTTCACGGAGGACCCACACTCCAGGCACTGGTAGCTGCTGCTGCCACAGGGGACCCAGGTGAGGTCACTCCCTGTGTCCAAGTACACCTGGAACACCTGTGGAGGAGTGCCAAGGTTCAGGGACAGCAGGTAGCCGTCTGTGTATGCTGTCACTGGCTCTATGATGTCCAAGAAGTCATAGTTTGTGGAGTTCACTAGTGCCATGGATGGGGTATACAAAGATCTGACATGGCTAAGGCCAAGAACCAGGCTGCTCTGGGTCTGGGGTGGTCTGGTATCTTCTGCATTATTGCAGTTGAAGAAGATGGATATGATGCAGAGAACAATGGTGTATGTCTGAATGAAAGGATGCATATTGTGTGTGTCTGAATGTCTGATACAGCATAAGAGGAGAATTTGGGCTATTTATAAGCCTTGGAAAGTTGTGTTCATCAATAAAAATATTGAATTTGCAAGCAATATATATTCAATGACATTCTTGGCTGGAAATTAGCTTCAGCTATATGCATGCTATCTGATTATCAAAGGCTCTCAATGATGCCTGTCATGCTGATAATTTATACTTCCTCTGTCTCCAAATTATAAGACGTTTTGTCATTTCTAAATTCATAGCATTTGCTATGTACATAACATATATCTAAGTGCATAGCAAAAGCTATGAATCTAGAAAATCCAAAACATCTTATAATTTGGAACGGAGGAAGTATTTGTTAATATAGGGTACATGGTGCTAAATAGAATGAATGATTAAGTAGTGGACAGGAGCCAAATGTATCCATGTTATGCAATTAAAAGATGAGCTCGAATATCTATTTCAGTGTTTGTGTAGCAGGTTTTGCAACGCATGGCCAATATAGCAAGCATAAAGGGATTACTTTTGATGTCAAGAGGGTCACTTTCCAAGCATCTCATTAGCTGGTATCTAGGAGGGTTCTTAGTATTTTGGAACACTTCTGACACCTTCAACCTTTAGTGTCGTCCATTTGTCTTTGTTAATGGAGAGCAATGCTAATCCAACAGACACTTGCATTTGTTGATTGTACTAGAAATGTAGTTCTATTCTGGGATCCAGGAATAATTTATTTCTGTATTTCCTTTCCATGTTGGAACCCCACAGATAGTCTCTATAATTTCAAGAGTAATATATGAAAATATGCACACTAGAACTTCTGCAAAAGCTTTCCTGGTTTCAGGTTTTGATGTGCAGCTTAGACATTGTTTACAAACTTAAGCTTAAATGGTGTTGAACTATCTTTCAAAAAAAAAATGGTGTTGAACCTTATATCAGTTGTAACATATCCTAAGCTCCTAACCAATTTTTTTTTAAACTAGCTCCTAACCAATTCTGACTAATGAATAGACTCAAAAAAGGATCTCAAGAATAAAGAGGTAAAATTAAGAGCCCTTGCTATTAACTTTATTACCAACCCAATTTGATTGGAACTAAAAGACTTTGTTATTGTTGTTATTAAAACTTCATTGCCTTTCTTAGCTTCTTTGTCCATCATGGTCAAAATTAATGGCAAAGAGCAAAAGCGGGACTGAAACAGGGGTAAACCATGGTCTCACAAATCGAGTGTGAAATTTTTGAAGCTATCGCATAAACCTAAATTTTCCAGTATAAAAGCACTAACTTTACAAATCGATGAACTATTAAAATTACATTAAGCACGCACAGTTAGACCTAAACATATACACAAAACCATAGAGCATACAGAAAACAAAGATGAGCAGTCACAACGAAAAAGCTGAATTACCAGCATATCTGCATTAGTGACTAAATTTGTACATAGCTTAAGTGAATGTACAGATGGAATGGATGGTCGTGGATGTACATGTATGCACATTCCCCTATTCAGCATGCCTTTTGGCAAGTGTCTTCTTGAGACCTTTTACAATCTTGGAAAACCATATTACATTCATAGTGAATAGTATGGTGGGGGCAACAGATATCAGAACACAAGCAAAAGTGTCCATCTGCTTAACCTGTCAAAGAAAGGTATCAACTGATAAATATATGAGTGGTCTAATTTGTATACTGAATTCATTAGAACCACCTAATACCTGATCATAATTTGTAAGGATGTGATAAAACAAGTAGATGAACAGAACTATCCTGACCATCTGCATTAAGAAATTTCTTTCAACATTAGCACACTGCAACCACTATACAATGAGATTTGAGATCCAATGTGCAGCCATAACAAATAGGCACCATACTGATTAGGCCAACAAAATTTGCATCCAGTTAAAGGCTTAAAGCTGTTACCCTTGATTGCTAGGGATGAAATCTACTGTCATTGTCATGAAAATGACAAGTGAAGTGTTTTGGCACTTACCAGCCAGGTAACGAACATTGCAACTCCGTTGACAATGTAAGCTTTGGAATTTTTCTTTCCAGCAACATCAAGGAACCTTGATGACACAGAGGTAGAACAACAGCTTAGATGGATTCAAAGATAACATCCAACCAACATTTTGTGTGACCTGCTAATTTATTCACTTACCATCGTAGGTTGATTCCTGGGGTGGTAGTCTCAGAGATGAGAAACATGTATGCGTATAACTGTCCTTCCCCAGAAAGCATAGCATATACAGCACAAACAAGGCACAGAATGTGGTGGAAAACCTGACAAAGGACACCAGGAGAAATGTTACAAGCAGATAATGAAGTCTACAGGGGGCAAATGAGAGAAATATGTCTAGGTTAAAACGAGGGACGAGAGGGGTTGGATAGCCAGGTAACAAACATTGCAACATCATGATGTAGCATGTTTACTTACATACTCCATACCACCAAGAGAAGGGTAGAACCAAAATATCATCGCAAGATCTGCAATGAAGTACCCAACAGAGACCTGGTAAAAAGGAGAACTGAGTCATATGAGACCAGGGAACATAAAATATACTCCCTCTGGTCACAAATACTTGACACATTTGACTTTGCATGGTCTTCAATGCATATCTTTGAACAGTAATTTCTTCTAGATTATATATTCTTAAAATATTTCAAACAAAGAGATTTAGCAAGTATTTTGAAAACAAATTGACACATAACTTGCATGTTTCCAAACTAAATAATATAATAGTTATTAATGTTTGTAGTTTTTAAGGTTTGACCAAGTCTTGTCCTAAACGGTAAGTTTTGGTGACCAGATGGAGTATATGTCAACAAAGAAACCTGCCTGCTAGAACAGTGACAACAAAGTAATAACATACCCCCAATGTAAAGTTAGAGAGGTGTGAACTCCGAAACGTTACTGGACCATCCAGCTGATCAGAGAACAAATCTGATAAGAAGACTAGGTATACTGACATCATTGTAATGAGTATTGCATGGACAGTGGACATTCCTCTGGAACAGAGAAGGATTAGATCAAGTATCATCAGAAACTTATAGATAACCTGCTGGATAAATTGCAATGCTAATCTCACCTGTTGTTCCATTCAATCTTTTTCATCTTTGTAAGAGAGGCATAACCTTTGAAGTAGACAGAACTGATTATGTGTGTGAAGTCATAGGACTGAAGTAGTAAGAACAAACAATAATCAAGATATTAGATGGGGCTTTAGTATGTTATACGAGGTTACAGATCATCTGAAAATTATCTTGAAGAACGTATCATCAGCATATTCAATTTCTGGAACTATGCCTGGTATTAACATCATACTGTTGATACACGTGAGTTATTTCAACTCTTAGTTTAGCTGTGCCACTTGGTTGAGCCTTAGAAAAGATCTTATAGTTCAAATTCCTTTTGTTTTTGAACTGTTGTCCACACCACTTTCCATGTACTTTGTTTTCTCTAACAATGCAAAATATGCAGTTACCGTACATATCCTAGAAAACGAACATTGTACTGTTATGTTCAAACGCTTTTTTCAAAGAATTATTTTTCATTAGGTGTTAGCTCAAAAATGTCATTCTTCTTTTCAAAATGTTTCCCATCTATGCACAGCTTAGAACACATTGAGCCAAATTCAAGAAAAGTAGCTAAACTCCGAGTCTTAATACTGTGAAGGCTACCTTTCACACTGGAAAAATAAAGGAACTATAAGCCTTACCTAATTTCTCTTTTCCACTATAAATAAGGATTAGGCAGAAAAATAAGATTTGCACAGGTTGAAACAAAAAAGGCTTCACAATCTTTGAAAGCGTTTTTCTGATTCATGTATTGAATAATGAATACTAAGGTTCGAAATGAAGCTCAAACAAACCACTGTGCTGTTCTATCAAGTTATGAATACTAAGGTTCAAAATGAAACTCAAACAAACTACTGAGCTGATCTATCAAGTCATGAATACTAAGGCTCGAAATGAAACTCAAACAAACTGAGCTGATCTATCAATTTACGCATATATTTTGTTTCCATCTACAGATACAAATATGGTCCCATGTAAATGCACTGCAAAATTAAGCATCAAATTTAACAGATGAAGTCGGAGTGAGTAAATAACAGTACCAACTTGCACATCAGGAGCCCCACGAGCACAGAAGTGTATAGAACATATGAATCTGCTAGCAAGTATTCCTTAAGAAGTAGTTCTGCTTTATACTTATAGGCCTTAGCTGCCATGATTGGGTCAACAGGAAAATCCATGATCTGATCTATCAAGTCAACACCTATTAATAAGTCAAGGAGATGCATGTTAATTAAGAATAGAAAAGAAAACAAACAAACAAATTGAATAATAGAACGAATAGTAAGTGTCTCATGGTATCTAGGGTCCCATAAACAGTATGAATATTGGGTGTGTAACAGCCAGTGGAATGGGGTGTTGCCAGAGCCAGAAGTATTATACAAGATCAAGCCGTTTTAATATTTTTGGAATTTGTAGAATTTCTAGAGGATTTGCATTGCCTTTTGACTTGGAGCCAGGGCTGCAGCTAGGGCAGCCCGAGCCCTAGCTCCGCCACTTGGAATTGCACAAAAAGAGGAAACATATTTCAGGCAAATTGGGATTTTCATCATGGGTGACTAGTGCTTTGGTGAAAATATCATATATCCAGATATGCACCCTGTCGACGAAATATGGTCGGCAGTCTACCTAGGGGTATGCCCAAGGTAGTAGATTATCGGCAGACAGGTGCGCAAGTCCCAAACAAGACGGCGACGCAAGACAGACACGAGGTTTTATCCAGGTTCGGCCGCCAAGAAGGCGTAATACCTACGTCCTGCGTCTGATTTGTATTGCTGTATGTCAATGAGAGATGATTTTTAGAGGGGTCCCCTGCCCGCCTTATATAGTCCGGGGCGGGGTTACGAATCTGAAACTAATCCTAGTCGATTACAATTGCCATATGTGGCGGGATAAAGGATTCCTATTCTAATCGACCGGATCACCTTGGTCGCCAAATCCGTCTTGATTCCTTGTGCGGGACTCCGATCAGGTTAACTGGGCCGCACGTCGTCTTTCGGGTGGACTAAACCTATCGATCCAGGCCAACCCAAGCTTAGCCATAAGGGTATAGGGGTTAATACCCCCACAGCTAGTCCCCGAGCATCATGTATTATGCTGCGACACGCCATTTTAACCTTCTCCGACAAGCAAGGCTTGAATTCTTGGCGCCTCGACCACCGTCATCACCGGAGAAGTAGGTTGTCCGAAGAATGTATGGTGCTCTTAAGAAAAAAGAAAAGATTTACATCACGAGAAGTGTGCCCACTTGTATTTACGAAAAAGAAATATAAGTGGTCTTGAAGCTATAACATCCTTAAACATCGAAGCGTGAGGTTGAAAAATAAACACATTCACATAAAGGTGAAGTGTGCCCACTAGTCCCCGAGCTTCTTTGGAAGGCAAAAGTATGAGCCTTGTAGCAAGGTCTAAAAAAAAAAGTCTCTTAAGCTGTATGTGAGTACAAATCACATGTAGCCAAGGAGAACCATTATTCAAGCGGTGGTGGGCGGGTCCCAGGCATACTAATAATCCTCATAACCATTCAAAACACAAGGGTCAATTTAATCAAACACATTCACCGCAAGGTGAAGTGTGCCCACTAGTCCCCGAGCACAGTGGTAGTAGGTGGCGCAGAGCACGTGGTGCGAGGTCTAAAAAAAGAAATTCACCGAGGTTGAGAATCCAATTGCCGTCTGAGGCGATACAAGATGCTGCCGGCGGGTGCATCGTCTGCGATGTGTAGTCCCCGAGCTTCTTTGGAAAGCAAAGTATGAGCCTTGTAGCAAGGTCTAAAAAGAAAAGTCTCTTAAGCGTATGTGAGTACAAATCACATGTAGCCAAGGAGAACCATTATTCAAGCGGTGGTGGGAGGCGGGTCCCGAGCACGGCCGTGGTCGAGCGATCCCGAGCACAAAAAGTGGTGCAGGCGTTATCCAAGCACAGTGGTGGTGCATGCATCCCCCAGCACATTAGTGGTGCAGGCGATATCCAAGCACGAGTGAGTGGTCAAAACAAATCCACGATCACTTGCGGCCTTGTACTATTATTTTGTGTACTTTTCTCTATTCTCTGCCAAGACCGATCGACACGTCTGGTCAAAAAAAGTCAATAGGTGCAGATCGTCGTCATTACTTCTTTTTTTTTTTTTTTTTTTTTGCAAGCGATCGGTTGACACACAGTATTGAGGTGTGTCGGTGTGGGCCTCCTTACACCGTCAACGAGGAGGCGCGTACTGATTATAATAAAGGAAGCGCGTTTATTGGCGCGATTTCGAGGTTGTGTGAACAACCATCTGCGCGCGTCCTGACTCTCCCAATATTCTCGGTGACGAAACGAGCGGTGCTCGTTGTTTTATATAATGCACGATCTGTAAGCTACTCATATCGTTCCCCATTGTCATCCGCCGCGCAACCTTCTTCTTCCTCTGCCGAACCCTATTGCCCCAAAAATCATCACCAATCCCCTCGGTCTCTGCATCCACCCACTTAGTAAGCGCGAACTAATGGCGAAGAGAGACGCCCGGAGAAAAAGCGAGGTCATGGCGAAGGAATGGTGGAAATCGCGAACAACGAAGCGGAACCATCGAGGACCTCGTCGCCATGGGAGTGCTCCACAACAAGGCACTTGCGGGATGGCGTGCACGGTAGGAGAAAGCTTCCCGATCCACAACCAGGTGAGATTGTGGTCTTTGAAGATTTCTTCAAACGGGGTTTTGGGATTCAGTGCACCCTTTCCTTCAGGGCCTCTGCGTGTACTACGAGATTGGGATTTGCAATCTGCATCCCAACTCGATTCTTCTTGTCTCCACCTTCATCCATCTCTGCGAGGCTTATGGTGGCTTCCACCCCCATTTCGACCTCTTCGCCCACCTATTCATCTTTGGAAGAAAGGGAGCGGTGGCTCGAAGATCGCCGGTGGCGTTTACACGAACTCCTGCGTGACGGCATGAAGGCTCAATACACCGTGCCGCCTGGAACACCTCCTTGGGCGAGTGGTACAAGAAATGGTTCTACATCCGTGAAGAGCGAACACCATCACTCTGTGCGATGTGGGGTGATTCCGAGAAGAAAAAAAATGTGGTCGGGAAGCCCGAGAACTTGGAGCGGATCGCCGAACTGCTCGGGATGATCCGTGGGGAAGGCTTGATGGCCCGGCGTTGTCGGCAACTTCATCGGTACCAAGAATCCAGCCACGCCGGAAAAGGATTCACCCCGGCCGAGTACCAAGGAGGCGCCGATCCGACGAGGACCGGGAAGGAGCCGCTCGACAAGGTGGAAATCAAGGCCGGGATTGGAGAGCTGTTCAACTTTGGCGATCCCAATTATGTTGCCTTTGACGCCATCGAACACGCCTTCAAGCTGGCTCGCCCTCCCCCAAAGGTAAATGACGCCTCCTTTTAACTGTAGAGTCATGTTGCATCAAGAAAATAACTGTCTTTTACTTCATTTTGTGTCTCGATGTAATAATGGCCGTGACCAAGGCGAGAGTGTTTGTGTCGCCTCCCCGGTGTAGAATGGCCACAAGCTCTTTGGGCCACCGCCCAGAACCAGCGCCCGGACCGGCGGCGGCGTTATTTGCTGGCGGTACTGAGACCGTGAGAGGGCGCCTCGACGAGCCGCCGGCAAGCGTCCGGCTACCGACAAGCGACGTCAAGCCATCTTCCCCACGGCCGGATGACGAAGCGAGAGATGCGGACATCTTCCGGCTCGTCCCCGAAAGAGGAAAAGCGGTGGGACCATCGGGCGGTGGCTCCTCTCACGTGCGGCGATGGTCACAGCACCGACCACTTGCAACAAAGAGCACGAGCGAAGGAACATGCCGCATCATACTCCGGCGCCCGTCTGGGAGGTTGAACAAGCCCGATGGACAACTGCCGAGCAAGCGGAGCGAGGCGGTCGAGGAGTTCGCCGCCACATCCTTTACGCCAAGTCAAAACTGTAAGTATCTATACTTTTGATGTAAGCTTTGCGTTTTGCATTGGATGCTATTATCTTACGAATTTGTCTCTGAATGTATTAGATCGGCATCCACCGAAAGCCCGACCCAGCTAGTGGGTGCGGAACGTCCTTACCAACAATGGCGGGACAAAGCGCTTTCGACAACCGGTAGTGGAGGAGCCCATGGCGAGACTCCTTTGGGCCTCGGCCAGCGGACAACCGGACGCCGATCCCCGAAAGAAATACAAGTGCTCCAAGCACGAACCACGATGAGGCGGATACCACGGCGCCCGAGGAGCTGGATCTAGCCGAGGCGTGCGGAAAGTTGCCCGGAACTTGGTTGCCGACCAGCGACGGCTCGTGGGAAAGCCACGGTGATCGTGGAGTCTGCGAATCCGGACGATGCCGCCTCCGAGCAGGGAGGTGAAGAGGATGAAGTGGAAGAAGTCTGGGCCGTCCCAAGATAGGCGACAACATGTATATGTGTCGCGCTATCGAACGACGAATGGGTCATGCGAGGAAATCCCGGGTCGAAGAGACCATAAGAGTCGAACGGACGATAAGCGTCTGGTGGCCCGAAGTCCGGTATATTTGGCTTTAGTCGTTGACCTGTTGTGTAGTCGAATCTATCGGCGTAACTTGTCTGTGTGCGGGACTTGATGAAAACTGCAAGATACCGAAAAAAAGGTGCTTGACCGGATAGAAGGAATCATGATGACCAATAAGGAGGCGACGGTGAAGTGGATCGCCTCGACGCCAACTTGAAGCCGCCGACCGGGAGAGAAAAGACCAAGAAGCACGAAACAAAGCACAGTCGGTCGACTTGAAAACAAAGAGCGGGAGAAAAGCGGGTAATCGTTCACGTATCATAGCAAGTCACGGGACTTGTGTTATTTTGTTCTTAGCGATAATAGCTTAATGTCACGGTTTAGAAGCTGAAGTGACCCGCCTCCGGGGGAGAAACGATCGTGCGCTTGCGAGAATGTGGTCGCTGAAGGAGGACAACGAGAAAGCGCACGCCGCCGGTCGAACTCCAAGACCACACTAACGAGAATGAAGGACAACTTTGAAGGTAAGCACTCCAGACCACCTTTCTCATTCAATTGCCCACATTGCCTTGTCGTGTCATCACGTTTGATGTCTTGTCTTTGTTTTCGGTTTTGAAAGTCAACGCCAAGAGGCACCTTGAGGCCGTGATCAAGGAGCGTGACGATTGGAAAGCGCAATGCCTTAAGGCCACCGAGGAGGCGGGACATGTGGAG